TAAATATTTATTATACTATTTTAGTATATTTTCGAGCAATATGTAGTGTTGTTCCGTAGTGTGACGGTCACGGCGGGTCGTTACAAGGTGATTTTAATTAATTATTAGGGCAATTAAAAAAATTACACTATCAATTTATAAAATTAAACTCATAGGATTTTTAGGGGAAATTATACAATAGTTACCTTTCAATTCTCTTAGAAATAATTTGTCATCAATTGTTTTAAATACTTCGGTTTATTGTAAAATATTTTTATGTTGATATCTAAAAAAATTGATTATATTTACTTCATCGTTTTATTCATTAATATGAAGTAGTGATAAATAAATTCTTACTAATTAATGTTTTATAAAATATAAAAAAAATTATAATATATTTTATATTGACTTTAACTATGAATTATACTTCATACTTAATTATTATAGAAAAGATTCATTTCTAATTCTGATAGTAAGAAAAAAGTTTTGTTTCAATTTTTTTTATGCAAAACTTTTTTTTTTGTTACATTTTTTTTTATGTAGAGCTTAGACATGCATGACACCACCATAGGATAATAACATATCAATATTAAAAAGAAAAAAAATAAACATATCAATATTAAAAAAATAAAAATAAAATAAAAAAAGAGTTAGCAATCAGAAATTAGACCAAAGTCCATGTAACAAATCAGCAAAAACTTAAAAGAGAACAAACTACACCAATTACGAAAAACACCTCCCTAATAAATATAGGTAAAACATCTCACCATACAAAAATAACTCTATGTTCTAAATCATAACCAACTAACTTATTAACACATTGATTTTCTTTCCAAAAATATGAGACAACAAAAAACACGTGTGTGGAGAAAAAAAAAAGATATTAGAAAAGAAGCTAAATATTATCTATCAAAAATTCTCATTTTTTTTTTGAATTAGTGAAGTAGTACAAAGTGCGGTAAGAGTGCAAATGAAAGGATTTATCAAAAGAACACAAAGTATTTTATATTAGTTCGTCTTAACCATTAAAATTATATTTAGTTCTTAATCGAATTTAATCAAGTTTCACTGTATTTACAAAAATACAAGTATTCTTTCACAAATCACTTTTGACTCAACCTAATTATTCTTGACTTGCCTGTTCAAACAATTACCCAAATATTTTTTAACACGAAACTTCTCCAAGCTTCAAACATCCAAGTATTCTTTTATAATTAAACCCCTTCAAACTTAAAAACACACAAGTATTCTTTAACAAATTAGCTTATTCAAAATTAAGGCAATAACATAATTAAAGTTGGATAAACTAACAATGTTATTTCGTTTTATTTTCAAGATGTGATACAACCAATTAGGTGTAGAGCTTTTTTTATGGAAAGAATGAATATGATTTTTACATTATGTGTTCTCTCTATCTTTATGGATTTCAAACTTTCTTTTATAGAATTTCAATGAAGATTATCTTTGCAAATCTCTGAGCATCTCTCACAAGCTTGCTTCATCTGTCTTTAGTTTTTTGTTCCTTGTGGAGAGAAGTATCCATTGGTGCATTAACTGTTTGCCTTAAATGTATTTCATCAAATTGTCACTTTTTATCTGATTAAGGAAGCTATTTGTCACCTTTTAGGTTTTGAACAAGTGGATTCATGCGTGTGTCAGTTCAAAACAAATTTTTCTGAGGATCTTCGTGATTCATGGGATTCGTTTCTTTTTCTAATGAAAAACATGTCCTCCTTCTCTTTTGTCATTGTGGGTACTAAGAAAGTTATTTTGCTTCAACCTATCAAGGAATAATATACACAAAGATCAATTTAGTTATCAAATATCATAAATGATATTAATTCAGAGTAAATATTTTACAAATGAAATATTTCATCTATTAAACACTTATGTCAAGATAATGAATCGTCTTAATGCATTCGTCTTATACAGAACATTTTTCATATTAAACGGTTTAAAAACTTTTATCTAAAAATGTTTGCATTTGTTATCATTAAAACTTTATAACTGAGAGATCTAAGATTGTCTTTTAACTTAATAATATAAGTAAAAGCAAAGACAAAGACAATATTTCCATCTTCCACAAATCTCTGAAAGGATTATGCCAATGTTCACAAAAATGATATTCCCAAAAATAATCCACCTTTTATATATATATATATATACATATATATATATATATATATACATATATATATATATATACATATATGTATGTATATGTATATGCATATGTGTATATCCAATGACAATATGATTTAATATGAGTGATGAGATAAGTAATCATAATCTTTAGATTATATAAAAATAATTAATAAGTTTAAAACTTAATTGTTGACACTCCCTTACAAGATTATTATTATTATCATCTCTTCCACAATTATCAATATCACCACCATCGATTGTTGCAATCGCCACCTATACCATCATTGACACCTTTGTTGGTGCCCTTATTGCTGTTGTTGACAATAATTACAGTGATAGTAATGGTGACAACAATAATTATGATGGTGATAGTAATAATGTTGACAACAATGCCACCAATGTCAACACTACTACCACCACCACCATCATCATCAAGTTATTATGTGTGCGAAGATTAAGAGACTAAAATAAAACGTAGAAAGGTCAACTCAATGAGAGATGTTAATTTCTTAAATAAATATTCATACTTTTAGAAATTAGTCTCTAATTCTTGACCGAAAAATATCTCTAAAAAAAATTAATGAAAGAAAGTCAAATGCTAACAAATTTAAAATTAAAAATGATATTTTTATTAAATAATATGATTAATATACTCCACTATGATTTTTAATACAATTATAGATTTTTTAAATAAAAATGTTTTATCTTTTGACATTTTAACCAATTATTTTAAAAAAATTGGTTAATAAAACCTTACAAAATAAGTTAGAGAACTAATTAAATAATTTTATATAATAATAATAATAATAATAAACACCAACAAAATATTAACACCTTTAAAAAAAGTAAAACCTTTTTTTTAATCAAGGTATATCATGGTTAAAAGCTTATGAAATAGTGAGATCTATTTAAGAGGTTGACATTTTTTAACAAATTTTTTCCTGACTGTTAGGAATGTCACTTGAGCGGGACGAGTATGAGTAGTTCTCACTCGTTCCACTAGATAAATATTTGTCTTGTATTTGTTCCTATATTTGTATGGGTATCCGTTAAGTAGATATTCACGTATTTTTTTAATATTTACAAATAGCTATGAATACTCGTGAATATTTATTTAAAATAAATAAATAAAAATTTAAAAATATTTTAATAATGATTTCTATTTTTTAATAATCTTTAAAAATACTTATTTAAAAGTCAAAACTTAAATTATTCAAATATTATACATATTTTAAATAATCAAGATTCTTTAATTTAAATACTCAATTTAATTGTTAAAGTACTTTATTCTCATAAATTTAAACAAATTTAACATATAATTATGTAATTGAATATTAATGATATTGCGGTACAGATACATAATATATGTACTCATCTGATTAACATGATACAAAATATTCGTACATATTATCCGCAAATACCCATTTTCAATATCTATTTTGTACTTGTAATAGATTTTATCTAAAAATATTCGTGAATACAGATTCTTTATACATTCTTACCGTTAATCATATCCCATATCCCATCTTTTTGGTAATAGTTTAGCACCTTAACAATTTATAAATAAAAAATAATTTAAAACAATTTTTTTATTTATTTATAGATCATATGTATCTTGTATGAGAGACAACTATGTAGAAGTCAAATATAATCACTTAAGTGACCAAACTCTCATTCTAAATAGTTATACATAAATACATATTGAGAACTCAAACATGAAACTATTAGTTAAATTGAAGCAACTTTATACCGGTTGTTCCATGTGTGTGTGTGTGTTTTTTTTTAATTATTTTAGAATTAATAAAATATTTACTAACCTGTAAAATTTTGCCATGCAGTAAAAGCTAGTTCCCAAAAGTGACAGACTTTATAAGTGGTCGACATGACCCGGTGTCATCCATACACGCCCTTTTTTTACTATATTTTTAAATGCCAATCATCGTGTAGTGCATCACTATATTTACATATTATAATAAAAAAAATGTTTTCAATTGTTTTAAAGAAGTGGACAAGGACGACGCTAACTACGAGGAACAAAATGGTCCGTGACAATAATATGAGCCAAATAGAAAACGAATTTGGTTAAATATGAAACTTACATTACGATGAATTAGACAACATTTTTATCAGTGTCAAACATCATATTATATTATTATATATTAGACAACATTTTTCTAACATGTTATAAATGCAAATTAATAATTATTTGACATGATTATTTTACCCGGGTTTACTTTTTTAATCATATATATTTTTTAAGATTAATTAAATTTTGAGTCTTTAAAGTCTCATTTTTTTGAATTTCATCCTCAATTTTTTCTAATAACTTATCTTTTCAAACTTTTAGATTTTGCAATACTAACAAAATATTGAGGTGACATATTTAATGTAAATCAACTCAATAATATATTATATTTGACAAGACTTAATTGTATTATATATTTTTAAACTCTTATTTTTTTTTCCACAATTTTATCTACAACTATTTTTTTTCGTGATTTATGTTCCTAAAATCTTTTTAGATCTTGACAATTTCTACTTTTCTATCGATTATCTGTCAAAATATTAAGAAAATATTAGTCATTTGTGTCATTTATATTATGTAAAATGATGATTTAACTTAATATAATTATGAAATTTTTTAAATATTTTACCTATACTTTTATATATACATATCACCCATTACATAACAAAATAAATAACAGATATTTTGTTAATATTTTGATCACAATGAATAGAAGAACATAAATTTCTAAAATCTAAAAATTTTGTGATATAAATCCTGAAATATTACTTAAAAGATAAAATTTGCTAAAAAAACAAAATTTGAAACACAAATTACAACTAAACTTTTTTTATTACTTGAATCCAAAATCTTACATAAATGAGAACAATTTTTTTATTTATTCAATGATCATTGTCCCATGTTCCCGTTAGCATTTTAGGAAACAAAAAGATGGGAAACTAAGTTGCAATGCAACCAAAGAATTCGATGGTAACTAACTGCAACCCACATTACAGAGTATACATACACAAAGGGATTATACATAAAATTAATCATGAGACGCGATCTCATATGTCCATATAACAACATTACAAAAATCAAAGTAAAAATGTTCATGTGCACAAATTATATATATAACTCAACTTAAAAAAAAAATACTAAAAATTCCATTTTTCTAACCGAGGATGGTACTTAGAGCAGCACCAACCAGAATGGTTAGTGTATACACTCCTAACTGCGACGGTGCTGCATGCGACGCGCCGCTTGGCCGGGTCGGCGTCGTTTCGTTCGACGACGACGCCGGCGTTTGAGATGATCCCGACGACGGTGAGGGAGTTGCCGCTGCCGGGAGTGACCCCGGAGGAGTGGCGGGGGCGCGCGGCGGGGGGGGGGGGGAGCGGGGATACCCGCCGC